AATGAAAGTGAATGGTTTTTTTCAACACGAAAAGGAAAATTTGAAGTATCAGAAGAATTAGGATATAAAAGAACAATTTTAGTTTCTATAGATTATCATCGTAGAGTTAATGATATAAAAGAAATTTATCAAGAAATTAAAGAAATAGGAAATATGTTAAGATATGTAGAATATAAAGGAGATATTAAAATAATGATAGATGAAACAGGAATAGGTAAAAGAGAAATATTATTTGAAGGAAAAAGTAAAATTAATGGAATAATTTGGGTTGAAGAAACATTAAAAGAAGAAAATAAAGGAAAATATTCAAGAAAACTTATGTTTGAAGGAGAAAGAAGTTTAGTTCAATCAGAAGGAATTGTTATTAATAAAGAAATTGATATTGTAGAAAGTATTAAAGAAGTACAGTATTTTAAAGGAATTGTTTATGGATTAATTAATGAAATTGGAGAAAATAATAAAGATATTATTATTCTTGGTGGAGGTGTTCATATTTTAGCAAGTGGAATTAAACATTGGTGTAAAAAGACACATGTAATTAGTGTTGAAATTGATGAAATTGTTAATGAAGCAGGAATAAAATGTTTTAATACAGGAGAAGAAATAGAAAGATGTGTTTGTGATGGGATTGAATATATTAATAAAATGAAAGCAGATTATATTATTATTGATGTTGATTGTAAAGTTAAAAATGAAAATGATATTGCAGCACCACATCCTAAATTTATTGAAGATTCAATAATTGAAAAAATGAAATTAAAAATTAAAGATTTAAATGGAGGAATTATTTATAATATCCTTGCAAGAAATGACACACAACGAATCGATTTAATTAATAAAATAAAAATCCATTTCAATAAAGTTTATTTATGGGAAAGTGATGAAGATGTTAATGTTATTTTATTTTGTTTTATTTCAAATATAGATAGATTCAATTCTTTTAATAATACTATTCTTGATTTTTATAATTCACTTACTCAAATTAAATAATTTATTGATTTTTCTCTTTTAATTAATATCATTCTTTCTTTCATTCTTTTTTTAATTATAATAGTATTCTTGTTTTTATTTTTATTTTTAAATTTAATTCTTATTTATCTTATTCATTCTATCAAACAAGAGATTTCCTTCAATTAAGTTTAATAAAATTATTATTAAAACTCTACAACAAACATTCAATAAATTAAATTTTGTTCATTTTGTATTACAACCAATTGAATATCTTCTTTCTCTAATTATTATTACTTATATTATTTCTATTGTTTTATCTCTTGTAAATCCTGAAAATCAATCATTAGAATAATATTATTTTGGAAAGAATAAAAGAACAAGAAATATTATAAATTTGATGAGTTCTAATTTAAAGATAAATCAACTACAATCTAAATACAATGATAATCTTTTAATTTCATTACTGAATCATTTCTTTTTATAAATTTAAAATTCTAAAAATTAAGAAATGGTATAATAAGTAAATATCATTTCTTAAATATTTATCATAGAACAACTCATACAATATGTAGATGTTCCATAACATGTTTCACATTTATCATCACATTTTAAACATTTCATGTCTTTTGTTAAATAATATCCTTCTTTACATCTTTTACATCCATATGTATTTTGTTCTTCACAATATTCTATTTTTGTATTAATACATTCTCCCTTCAAATTAGGTGAATATGTATTTAAACATTCAACACATTTTCCATTAACATATGATTTATTTAAACAATATGAAATATTATTATTACATTTTCCATTTTGATCTTTTATCATATCTTCTTCACATGTTTTATTTATACATTTATTATTATCTAAATATTCTTCATATTTACATTTTATTTCAATATCATTTGTTTGACATATTTCTGATTTTGAACATTCTATACATTTATTATTATTAATGTATTTTCCATTTTCACAATATATTTCTTCATTCTTTCCATTTTGATTCTTTTCTTTATTTG